AAAATTTATGTTTGGCTACAATGGACTGAATCTGTTTGATCAAAAGCTTTCTCTGTACAATTGTCTTTGCTGGAAGTTTAGAGAGACCATAACCATTCGTGAGCTTTTAGTCACCTCTGAATCTCCAGTGAATGCCAGCAATTCCCTTTCCATGGGCACTGCAGGATGTGCAAGTGGGGTGCCCAGGAGGAGCTATAAATAATGCAGCTCCACAATGCCCCAAGCAAAGAGGGAGATCCGAGCTGCTGGGGCTTCGAAAGGGCACCCGACTCCAGTCAGGAAGCACAGCTTTCTCCTTCTGCTGGTCCCCACAAGGGAAATCACTTTGAAAGGTTAAAAAAGGGCAACTCTTTCTTGCTCAATAGACCAGTTTATATCTTGTGATATGAGCAGAGCTGGTAATAACTGCTTCGTTTATAGTTCGCTCACCACTGCAGGACGCTGGAGGAGAGAGGATTATTAGGGTCTCCAGCCTATGTCTTTCCTGGGATCCTTTGCCTTTATCTACAAATATCCCAGCCTCAATGCTATTAACCCTGACTTCTTCAGAGTCATACATTAATTCCTGCTCTTGGTTTTCTCCTTTCTTCCAGCAACAATACTGCTCTCAGCAGCAGAACACTTAGTACCAGTTCCCAGTGCCAGGACCTTCAGAGATTTAACATCAGCTGCTTGACTGCTGCTTCCAGTGCTCCAGCACCATCCCTAGACCACAACCTTGACCAGATAGAGCAGCACACATAGACCCAGCCTTGTGCCAATGCTCTGCCAAAAGTATCTCTTTCCCTTTCCTGTTTCTCCACCTTCCCTGGTATAGAGTCTTGTCCAAATCACTTCACCTCTTGCAATCCCATATAAAAATTTATTTAGAGGTTCCTCACACTATTTAAGTTACCACTGCTTTTATCAAACATCATCCTCACATCCAGAGGCATACAAAGCTCTATGAACAGCCACATTTGAAGAACAGAGGCATAGGAATACACAAATCTCTTTTTCCAGCATTTGAATTTACGCCTGGAAACTAAACTATCAGCTTTGCAATGATTTACTGCTGTACAATGAGACCCACAACATATAAACAGAGAAGACAACCCTGTAGGACAATAAATTGCCACAGACCAAGCTGTCATCACAAAATGCATAAAAGCCTTGTGAAAACCACCCACTTGATGGGACACAGAGGGTTTTATGGCAGCTGCACTTCTGCAGACATGAGGTACAGGGGCCTCTTCCAAAGTGGGAGATGCCCATCCCTGGCCACCTGCAGCTCTTCCTGTCTCCTCCCCTGCTGAGGGTCTGGGATACCCTTCTCATGAGTTTTGCCCCTTGATTTCCTAAAGCACACAAACCCTTTGGACAGCCCAGCCATGCAGTTTTGGACTCTCTTGTTGGTGCAGCCCCTTCTGAAGGGGAACCTCCCTGAAGATGTTTGTCTTTACCCAGGGATCAGGTAGGACAAGACCAGCTCTGGGAGCAGCCCATCAGAGACCACTGCAGCTTCTGATCTCCTTTGCCTGCCAGGGCTGCCCCTCTGTGAGCCCTCGTGTCCCTCCAAGCCTCATTACTTGTGATCTTCAAAGCTTCCAGAAATACAGTAGCAATTCAGGCAAGCTTGGCCAGTGACTTTACAAGAATGGCTTGGTTTTAATCATGTGTCTGGGGATTTCTAGTGGGAGGATGAAGCAACTAGGTTTGGCATCACTTAGGAATGAAAGGGTAGGAGTTTAACAGAGATGATCTGAAAGGCTGAGCAAAAACCCTTTGAATTAATTTATATAACCCAGAAGTTCAGCAGCTCTGCATTTTTAAGGTAGCCAATACTGGGTGAAAAATCATAAAAATAAATGTATCTTAGCTTTCAGAGGGACCAGAGGAGGGAAAATTTAATTCCCCATAATATTACACATGATTGGGATGTAGGTTTATATTCAGAGCCTGAGACCAGTGAAAAAAGAGCTGTGATAGATGGCACACATCTTTAGGTCACTGACAATCACCCCTCCTATACCAAATTTCTCTCTTTGTTTAAAATAACATGAGACTTTCCCAATCAGCTCCTTTGCTGAATCTGTCTTTCTGCTTCAACACCACAAAGCTAGGCAACTCAGTGCTGCTTTGGAATGGGAAAAGCAGGGGGGACACAAAACAAAGAAATCCAAAGAGACTGTCTGCAGGGAAATCCAAGGAGCTACGAGAAGATAAAACAAGAAGCAAAGAAGAATCCTTATGAAAATGCATGAGATGTGAAAAACTGACAGGCCAATTAAATATGCCTAAATAGGATCAGAGATTATCCCAATGCCACTGTCATGTCCTATTGTTCTCCACACTCCCTTTGTTCCCCTCCTCAGCCTCCAGAGAAGCAGCTCACTGGAGACTCCCAGTCCCTCCTGCTCATCCCTCTGACCAGCAACAACCACACACAGACCCCTCACTCCCTGCCTTGTGGCTCTGCTTTTCCCCAGCCCTCAGCCAGCTGCTGGCATTCCTGCTCTGTGCACTGCTCCTGCAGAAGGAACACAAATGCTGAGAGCCTGCAGGGAGTGGGGGCTGGCTGACGCTTCTGTAAACACCACTCTAATCCGTTTCAGATATTAGACTCCCATATATGTGTTTTTAATAATAAAGGCAACATTTAGATGCTGCCAAGGTATCAGAGGGCCAGTAGCAGACACAGAAGAGCCACCCCTACCAAATAAACAATGGAAAATGCTCGCTTATCTTTTCATACCACTAGGCCTCCAGGCTCCAAAATAAATGATTGCATTCATTTACATTTTATTGTGGAGATATAACTGGCTGGAATAACTGCCGGCACAGAACCACACTGCAGGAATGCACTATTTTTCTCCCCATTTGCCTTAACTGATGCTTTTCTTTTTTTTTCCTGACAATCCATCTCTATCACTGTTGCCTGGATGGCAGAAGTGCATTAACCCACTACCCATCTTGCATTTAGGAAAAAAAGAAGCCATCAGCTCAGCTTTTTAAAAGCCCCAGGCTTACAAATTGTTGCAGAGTAGCAGAAACTGTGAAAGAGGGGACCCTTCACCTAAAGCATATCCAGGCAATAAAGCCAAAAAGTTCTTGGACAGTCACACATTCATGTCCCAAAACCCCTACAAGCCATATAAAAGTCAGCTCACAAGTGACACCTTAGTCACCTTAGCCTTCATTTTTACTTCCCTTACAATCAACAGAGAGGAGGAGACTCCCCAGAGAATTCATCATGTAAGTTTGTGATGTTTTGGGTCAAGAAGCACCAGTTCTTCTCCTTTTCCTGCCAAGCAGCCTGAATCCATGGCTTAGAGGGAGAAGTCCACAGTGTACACCCAGCTGAGATGGACTCAGGCTATCTAACTACTATTGCCCACACAGCGTGGTGTTAACAGGTTCCAAAGATCTGTGTCGTTATTTTTATCAAAAGACAAACCAAATAAATAAAAAAGTACCAAAGCATTCCATCTCTCAGGTCAACACCTTAGGGCTCACTAGATGAGATGGTTAGAAGGAAGTGGACTATAAAAAACTCAGCCATGATGGGACCACATTCCCAGGCTGAAAAGCTCAGGGCTGGGGGTGAACCTTCTCAGTGACAACTTCCTATTAAAAAGATAAAATAAAGTACACACAGGGCTAACTACAGAAATAACTGTCAAACTGTCGAAACTGGTTGTTTTCTGCTGCCTCCTCACATTCTGATACCTGAATATGTTCAGGTTTTAATTTCCTTTCTTATCTGTTGAGCAGTTTCTTACTAAAGATAAGGTAAGAAATATAACAAAACTTTAGGCAAAATTATTTGACTATATTTCACTGGAAAAAATGGTGGCAGAAACAATCTCAGATTCTTGAGCTACCTAAGGAGGTAAGAGAGGTGAAAGCCTGGAGAACTGGAAGCCAAAAGCAGGACAGTCACCAGTGTTGGGTCATCATGACACTTTCTCAGGCCTCCAGCTCAGAGGCCAGTGCCCACCCCTGCCTCAGTCTGTGTGACCCTGGGCAGGTCCAGTAACATCTCTGTGCCCCAGGTCTCCAGCTGGAAATGAAGCTACCCAAGGTCTGCAGGAATGGGGCCACCAGATGCTCCAGCACAGGGTGAGAAAAGCAGCTCAAGAGAATTAGGTACATGAGAAAGAAAATGAGTGAGTCTGTAAAATGTACAAAAGCTACAACAATATTATTGCAAATGAACTACCAAGTGTGACGGCAAGAACATTGACCTACACTGAACCTGAGCGTGGCTTCCTTCTAAATGTGGTTTTATAAGGGCTTCATATCCCTTGGACACTGGCAATGCAAAAGGAAGGAAGCTGAGCCTGATGACCAAGTGCACAGCCTACACAATTTCCTCTGCTGTGTCACAGCCCCCAGCAGTTCAAACATGCTGGGGACATATCAGTGAATGCTCTAAGTGACCCTTTTTCACATTCTCGGCATCTTTTGTTTTGCTGCTTTATAGACAGACTAAACACAGAATCATTTGCAATGGTATTACAGCCACAGCATAGTTTGTTTGGAAGGCAAGGGTGGATATAATGCACCTGGGTCCAGACCAACTTTGGTGGACAAAAACAGCCCTCAGAAAAATAGCGACCTAAATTCATCCATTTCCTATTGCTTTTCTATTGCACAAATATACAGAATAAATATTCAGGCTTAATTATCTGAAAATGCAACCACATATATGAAACAAAATTCTCAATGAGCTACACATTCTCCCAACGTTTTCAGGAGCACCATTCTTCCAGAAAGAATATTCCCTTCTCTCCCCACTTCACAAATGTGCAAAATGCCACCCACGCAAGCAAGGGAAGGTTTATAAAAAGAAACCCAGGAGTTTCAGTTCCCTGTCTTTATCACTTCTCCCACCAATATTTTTCACAAAAAGCAGAGCAGCAGTGTCTGGCTGTAGGAAGCTCTCCTGTCATTCATAAGCAATGGTATCAAATAGGCACATTGTCCCAAGGTGAGCAGGAACATTCCTGTTACCTTACCAGCAGTACAGAGGTGCAGGTGGCACAAAGCACCTGGGTCACACAGTTCTTGGCTCTCCCCTTCTTCTTCCACCCTCAGCTCCTCTCTCCATCTCTTCCTTCTCCTCGATGACTTCTTAAGGATCTTCAAAACCTTGTTCACTTTATTCATTTGGTCTCAAGGCTGCAGAGAGGGGACAGGATCTCCCCAACTCCAGTGGCTCAGCAGCTCCAGCTCCCAAAGAAGGAGGGAGAGCTAGAAGCAGGCAGGTCACTGGGAAAGCACTTTGTGTGTATGTGTGTGTGTTCCAAAAGCTTCTTTCCACCCAAAGAGATAGTTTTGGGTAGTGATGGGAGAGGGAGGAGGAGGGAGAGGGATTTCTTTTGCCTCTGTCCATCCACAGCTCTCACAGACAACAGGAGCAGGCATTTCTTCTCCCTGATGACTTGGGAAAGCTCATAACTCACAGGGGCAGCAGATCCTGTATAGGGTTTTCAATTTCTGTTTTTGACAATACATGCATTCTGGCAGATTTCAACTACTCCTCAGGCAAAAGAGCCAGCATCAGCTCAGAAAAAGCAGTGACTCTTAAAGAATTCTGGCTTCTTTTCAAAGACTAGAAATAGCTAACGCAGACAGCAAATAATATCTGCTTCTACGAGAAATGCTAAATAACTCTGAAAGCTTGTAGGGAAGAACCTTGACTTTCCTGTACTTACACAATTGCTCACCTTTCAGCACTTACATTTTCACCAGCATTTTTGGAAAAAAGCAAATAATTTTTCCAGTTTCCTGGAAAATGCCAGCATGGAAGAACCCTCCCCAACCAGGCCAGGGAGGTTAGTGGAATGGACCTTCTCCATGCAACCATGTGTGGGGATTGGACATGGCTGTGCCTGGCAGCAGGACCAAGAGCCTGTTAATATACCTAAAACTCCATTTAGAGTGATATAATTAAGTACAAACCCTGCAGTAGACAGTATTAATGGATGTACAAATTAAATTATCATGCACTTCATTTAAGGTATTATAAATAGGGTCATCACTCCCACTGCTGAGCAAGATGCAGCCCACACCCTGCAAAGGCCAGAACAGGGCAGAGCATGGTCAGCAGCCACAGCCACTGCTGGCTTTGGGTAACCTTTTGAGGCATGAACTCTCAGCACCCAGACATGGCCACATCAGCAGTGCCACAGAGCAGATCCCAAGTGCAAGATCTGGCAGATGCTTCTCAGCTCATTAAAGCCCAGATTTTAATGAGTCATGTCTCCAGAAAAGCAGCACCATGCAAATTGCACCACCCCAGGAAATTGTGCTGTTCCCATGCATCATTCTGAGGCATAATTCTTCTCATGCCACCTTTCTCCAGGGCAGGAGATAATTTGCACTGCCTCCTCTCAGCAGTTTACCACTGTCAGACTTGGCTCACTGTGCAGGAGCAAAGACAGCTCTTCTGCTGAGCAGGGATCTCCCTGCCTCCCCTCTGGGGCTGCAGGGATGTGCCTGCTTCCCTTTCCTCCTGTCCACAGGCAGCATCCAAATCAGAGCCTGCTCCCGGCAAGAGTTTGTCCCACTTTGCATTGGTCTCCAGCATTTGAGATCTGCCTGCTCTTCCCAGGCATTAAGGCTCCCACAAGCTTCCTGAGAGATGGGCAGGGCTCTGGCCCAGCCTCACACGATGGAGAAACCCTTTGCAGAGCTTTCCAGATTGGATGTCCAGCTGGTAGCAGGGTCTCAAAGGGGCGTGGGAATCACAGATGGGTAGCCAGGCTCAAGAGCAATGGGGTCCATAATTCCTGCTAATGGGCAGGAAAACCCAACCTTGTCCACCCAGGCAGCTGCAGATTTTAGCCCTAGTCCTAGTCCCCTTTGCTCAGGCTCCTGCTTTGAACGATCTTCTGCATATTGTTATCCTTCTCTAAATTTTCTTCCTCCATCTCACTCCTACTCCAGGCTCACGCGCTTTCCTCTCTTTTCCTTTGGAGAATGGCTGCAATCCTTCATGTACTCCTAATCAGTGAGATTTATGAGTACAATTCTGTTTTATTTTGATGGTTAATACTAGCACTAATGCTGCTGCCATGTCTCCATAATTAATAACAAGACTAATAATACAAACCCAATCTAAGAGTCACTTTATTGGTCTTCAATGTCATTAGTTAGAACTGACATAACCAATTCAAGTTGCCATCCATACTGAGTCACCATCACCACTTCTATAAAAACAAAACACATGGATTTTGGACTGTACTGTAGCCCACTCTCAGCCCAGCAAGCAATGCTACAGGGGGTCATCTGAGGGCGATATCCTCCTCATCTCATTAATATTTTAGAGAGCTGCAGCAATACGGTGAGCAGCAGGAAAGCAAGATAGCGTGGAGCAATGCAAAAGATTTTGCTGAGATGGGTTCTCAGGGACCAAAGATACAACCTGCAACGCCCCTGTGACTGCAGATACTCCCTGCATTCAGCCCATTCTGTATTTTCCCACCTGCCAGTATAAAAGGCAACAAGCCACCATGAACCACCCAGGTCTTGTAGGCTACTTTTTCATGATTAAGTAATCACAAGATCTCTCTGTTTTGTAAAGATTTCTGCTTGATGGCTTGGCTGTTAATCCTGTAGATTGCACTCACACTGCTCTCAAAATTTATTCCACTGTCAGGGCAGCAAGTTGCTGTAGTCATTTGAAGGCCAAAATCAGTGCCTCAAAGCACTAAGGATTTAAGAGGTGAAAAAACCTTCAAAGCGTCTCACTAACTACTGTGAGTACTGGGAATACTTTGGTTTCCATTCAGGTAATCACACACTCTTTTCATGTCCTACTCCCACTTAGTTTCACCTATTGCTTGTCACAAATTATCTGAAGCTGTTTGATTTGAGCCACAATTTTGGTAGAATTTAGGAATATTCAACAATAACAGAATAATATTGCTAAGTTAATGTAAATTGTTTACCTGTCCCTCCTTTTCCAATCAGAGCCCTACAGTTAAAGTATAGCTGCAATTAAACGTCTTCCAAAGCAAACCTCACATGTTTCAAATCAGTCTCAATTTAGCAGTTTTATTTTTGTGTTAAATGATAGGGAACAGCATTAGCACAAGGGTCATTATGTGAGTCAGCAGCACACGGCAGCTGCCTGTTCCCACCATGACTGAGAACAGCCTCCTGCTGCCCTCCATCCTGGGTTATCCTCCCATTCTTCCTGTTCCTGTCTAATCCCAGCCCTGACTGGAGAGCCACTCTGTGCCCTGTGGAGGAGCCTGCTCCCTAACCAGCAGTACTATTCAGTATTTCTCAGCACTGGGACATGCCAAGTGATTTCAAACAGGAGGAAGCTGATACTATTGCCTTGAATTTTTATACAGCATACATATGGCGCATCTGCCACGAACACTAAAGGGAGAGAGGTTTTCAGCAGGAAGACCCCAAGGAGCGAGGGATGCAAAAGCACAGCCCTATTTGCCTGTGCCCAAGTCACAGATCTGACAGATTTAAGCAGACCCGACCTGTGGCCTGTGTTCTGATAGGCAGCCCTCAGACAAAACTGAAGGCATAGTTCTCCAGAGATGGTGCTTGGCACAAGATTCTCAAAGCCATCTCTGCCTGCTGCAACGTGGTTCCAGGAAATCACAGGAACACACAGATCTGCTGCAGCACAGACACCACAGACACACCATGTCCTTGTTTGACCCTGAGCAAATGCCTCTAAACAAGGAGATGGATCCTGCTCCAAGTACTATCTCACAGGTGAGCCCTTACCTGATCCTTCCCTACTGCATTAAAGCTTGCTTGCTGCGTAACTCTGAGTTTCTGTGAGGCTGGAGACAGAACAGCATGCTGCAGTTATTAATCACACCATGCAGCACTGCTGTTAGGCTTTATGTCATGAAGTCTTCACCTGTTTTAACACCAATCAGTGGCACTGACCCCCTCTGCAAGCTTCTACTGATGCCCTGACATTTCATTCCTTTCCCTTCACTATTTCCCAGCTGTTTCAAAGACCGTGAGAAACTTTTGAGAAGACAACAGCTTAGTGTCTTGCAAGTGCTGCATTTCAAGTGAATTATTTTGGGCTTTTGGCTTTATTACAAAATAATAAACATGACAATAAATCAAGGCAAAAGAGAAAGAGGATAATGTTGGAGGTTTGCCACCTGTGTGCAGCATCTTACCAGCTTAACTGTAGCTACAGAAATTAAAGTTGAGGATTTCAAAATCTTCAAGAAATAAAAGAGCACAGGCCTGGAAGAGCAATTAGGGACTTACCCAGCTACTTCCAACCACTCATACTAAGCTAATGCTTATTTAAAGGGAATGTGGCTTCAGAATTAAAACTGCCAAAGAAAAAAGGCTCAGATGGTTTTTAAAATCTTCACAATTTTAAAAGCATCAGGTGCATATTTGTTTGTTTGTTTGTTTGTTTTTTTGTGGGGCAGGAAAATGCTAGCTGTCAAAAAATACCTGCAAAAGAGTAAAGAGCTGTAATTGCTCTAGAGACAAAAAACCCCACACCAACCACATAAATAAATTTCAGTGCTTGACAGTGGCCATGGTATTTTCACTGTAACAAAAACAATACCAGGAACAAGGAACAGAATGTGGCCATTAATCATGGGAAATTATTAAAAATGACTGAGTAAATATGAGTTTATCTGACTCACATATTTTCTTTCCAGATCCTTTTCTGCAAATACCTTAATTTCTCTCACTTCTTTGATAGTAGTTCACAAGATATTCCAGCACTGCAGTGCCCTTCTGGCCTCCAAAGGTTGCTGTGTGATCATAACAGCACCAATTAAATAGTAACCCTTATAGTAACTAGGTAGGGTGAAAGCCACAGCCCTGGAAAAATGGGGTGACACATTTGGTGACTGACATGTAATTCCTGGCACTCAGAGACACCCAAATGTACCCTGCAATCAAACCCAGGAACATGAAGCAGACACTTCTCTGCTGGAAAGGAAAGTGGAGAGAGCAACATGAAATTGTTAAAGCAAAACTGGGTTTTGTTTTGTGAAAGTTTGAATGCTGCACAGTTGGTGCTTTCAGGTACTGTTTCTCAGTACTTCCATGTTATAGTCTCTCTGAAATTTTATTTTGGTTTGGCAAAGAAATATGGAAAGGTGACAACTCTGATCTTGTGCCAAATGCAGGCAGAGAACTGACAA